ATTATATATAAGTATTCAGTATAACAAAAAAAAAAAACAGGTTGTAAGGGGAGGAACCGCGGTCCTGTTTCGTGTCGCTTCGGGGAAGGGGACGAAAAGGGGAGGGGGGGAGGCAGTTTGTTCGCATTTGTCGTTTAAACTTACTGCGTTTTTATTTGATCTTAAAGACAAAAGAATATTAATATATTTGTATTTCTCCGCGTATCTTTTCTTCTTCTCGTCTTATTTGTCTTTGGGGCAGGTGTTCCGAACAGAGAGCAGCAGCCTCACGGGGGTATACCGCATGAGCAAAAAAAAAAGAAGCTAAGCGACGGCTAAACGAGCACCACCGTCATTTCCAACGTTAATTAACGAAGACGCTTTTTTTTTTTTTTTTTGCGCACATCGTAATTCTTTTATTTAGTTTCATTATATACAGTTTAAAGGCACAAAGAAGGCTAACGCGCCAAGGACCACAAAGCTGAAAGGAAATAGACGTGGAGTTACAGGTGTCAACTATCGGGTACAACGTATTCATTTCGTCTCAATTAATACGAGTAATCTATCAGAACGCGCCCGAGCCGCGCCGCTGGTACACATCCTACACAAAAGACACGGTGCTTCGTGCAGACAAGATGGCGGAATTATCTGCGCCTCACTCACTGTTCGCAGCCCGTTTGCTTCGTACGCCTCACGCATCTTTCAAACGTGTCTGCAGAATTTTTTTTTGTGCGTGTGCGTGTGTGCATGGAACACGCCTAAACACTGTCTGTATAACGTATTATAGTGGGTTACAAGTGAAGAAGGTAGGAGAAGCTCCTCCCACAAGCGTGATGCGCCCGTTTCGAATCCCTCCGCAGTCGAAAAAGAGTTCACTGGAAACGCTCCTTGTTCCGCTTCAATGGATAGATAATAGCCACAGAGTGGTGCCAACTTGTCTTCGACCCCCACTTTTCAAGAAAGCGACCTTTGTATTCATCGGAGAGAAAACCGAGCCCCTGAAAGCAGCCCTTGTATCCATCGGATGGGGGAGCTCATCCCCGAGAGTCGTATTTGTTTCCGTCGGAGAGGGAAAACTCTAATCTCCCTCTCGTGGCTTCCACAATGCTAAGTCAAGGTCGAAAAATAGAGCAAATATGTACACAAAGGCAAGACCCTCCTCGGGCGTTGGCCGCGACGTCACGGAAACGACGAGACGCTATTAGATGCGGAGGTGGCGGAGGGACATATGATTCTCGTTGAGGGGAATTTGCCGCTATCTTCTTAACCTGTAACTTACAATAGCAGTGTCAAACGCCCACCATCATGGTTTGGTCGTGTCTTTGCTCCTGTTCTATTGTCGCCGATCCAATTATAAACAAACGAAGGCCTAGTGGGACGCGCTTTTGACGATACTCGATCGGTTCCTTTACTTGGTAGCGGATCGTCTGCGTCAGCACTTGAGCTGAAATAAAGTTGGCTCAATCTATCTCAGACGGCACAGACGTTGCGTTGAACCATTTCTGATTTTTTTAAAGAATTTAAAAGAAAATTCATGCTTTTTTTTACTCCGTGGTTTTTAACTTTTTTCCTCAAATATTTTCGACAAAAGAAACATTGTTATTGCGTGAACGTGGTTTTAAAGGGGCCCTCCGGAGCGTTCTGCGATGGTCTATTTATGGCGGCAACTTAATCTACAGGCCCTAGGGATCCTAAAAGTCATAAAATTACGGTCATGCACGGCGGATTTCCCTACTAAAATTGCTATCAAAGTCCCCGGCACGCCCCCTTTTTGAGATGACCCCGGAAAACGGGAGGGGCATCTCTTTACGCGTCAGCCAATAGCAAGCGAAGGAGTCCGGCGTCACTGCGCGCCACCAACGCGGCCGACCGCCGACCCGCGGAGGATTCTCTCGAACACGCGCGGACCATCGTCAAGGAGCCCGGACTTTGTGCTCGGCAGTCGTCGTTCGTCGCATCGCACCGTCGCGCTGCTACTGCAATACGCAGTCGCATTCCCCACATGGCAAGGACAAGTTTGAGTCGTTGACGTGGAAGGATCGCAAAGCTGGCTTCGGAGTCGGGATCCACGGGAAGAAGGAACACGTGTCCCGCAAACGCACGCCTGCAGACGCCCCGGGAAGCAGACGAGCTGACGCGCCGACGCATCACCCCCTAGCAACAAGCATCCGGCAAGAATACGTAGTTCGCTGGTTTAGAAGCGATAATTGCGGACTATGTTTCCCGCACCACAATCAGTTTACGTTTTTTTTTTTTTTTTTTTTTTTTTTTTATTAACTTTAATTTACAACAAGCTTTAAAACTGTTGCAATAATAACGTTCGCATTCACCGCGAGATGTAGCATTTCCATTGGTCAAGTTTTAGCGATGGGCAGGGAATGGGGGATCGTCTTCCAAGAGGAAATAGTCCCGATATATTTCTTCTGCCATCTGCTTAATAAACGGTTTTGTAACCTTAAAATTTGTATACATATTAACTTGCACCTGCTACGCCATATAACAACATAAACAGACGATCGCAGAAAGCTCCGGAGGGCCTCTTTAGCTTTTAAAATGGGAGTAATACTAAGCACCAATCAAAAACTAAGTAAAAAATTTTTTTTTCAAACGCTTTACAATGTGTTTTATAAATATTCGAACAACTTTAGCTTACTATGTTGTGATAATGATGCAAACTTTATTGTTAAAATAGTTTTTTTTTTTTTTTTTTAATTCAACAATATTCACTAAAATTAGCACCTTATTATTTTTTTTAACTGTCGCTTTGCCGCTGGTAATTGTAACTTTTTGATGCTGGAAGTTCTGTAGAGGTATTACATATGAAAAATGTCGGAAACCGTATAACCAAAAACTTAACAAAACCAAAAAAAAAATCTAAATTCGTAAAAAAAAGTTTGTTTTGCTGCAAAAATAAACGTTTATTCTACCATGAGGTGGCCGAAGGAAAAACGCGAAACGTAACGACTTTAGGAGAACAATTTATTGTTCTTCGTATCTAATAGTTAAATCAAAATAGTTTTTTTGTTTTTTTTAAGCGGGGAAAAAAAATACTGAAGTCAGCTCCCGCGTCGCAATTGGACCGGTTTCTTAGCTCCTCCTCACCGCACAGTACGCCACTGTCAACATTGTAGCCGGACGAAACGCACGAGTGTTAGTCTTAGCAGAGTGTGTACCGCAGGCAGTCGCAGAAAAGCTGCGTTGTCGCATAGATATTTATAGAGAAAAGGTTTGCTTCTGCTTCCGTGGCTTTCCAATAGCTACATTAGGTGACCGGCGTGCAGAGTGTCTACACTCTATAGACCAGGTAGATGCTGAAAAGTTCCGTTGTCGTACAGATATTCATGGGAAAATGTTTGCCTCTGCTTCCGTGGCTTTCAAATCCCTGCAATAGGTGACCGGTGTTTGAACCGGAAGTTTCGTCATCCGAAGCGAGGCGTCACATGACTTCACGCTTTCGGTTCGTCCGGTGCCGGTCGTGGTTCGTATTTAGCTGTAAACAGTGACTGTATACGGAAGGCAAATGCGAGTCAAGAATGCGCTTGCGCAGAACCCTCTGCGGAAATCACATTCCCGACCAGAAATTGTCTTGCGTGCGCGCAGAGCTCTCGTGTCAGTTGGCGGGCTATGCGGTGAAGAGGCGCTAACAAGCAATCCCAAGTTTCGAAGCCGGAGCTCGACTTCAGTATGTTTTTTTCCTCGATTTAGACAAAAAATATTTCGAATTAAAGTTTCAAAAATGAAAGACAGTAAACTCTTCTTATAAAGCCCTTTTTTTCGTATTTTTACTTGGACTACCTGAGGGTAAAATGGACGCCTGTTTAGGCCGCAAAAAATTTTTGTTTTTACACATTTAGAATTGTTTTGTTTATTAAGTATTTTGTTTTACAGCTTCGAATGTTTTTCGTTTGCAATACAACTACAGGGCTTCCAAACAAAAAAGTTTTAATTACCAGGCGTAAAGCTATAATTAAATAAAATTTGAGAAAAGTGGTAGTGTTCGTGCATTTCGCTGAATTAAAGAAAATATATTTTAACAATAAATCATCAATCAGCAACAATAATCATCACAACATAGCAAGCCAAAAGCAGTTTGAATTTCATAAAATAAATTGTGAAGCGTGTCGAAAACATTTTGATTTTTATAAAATTATTGACTGATGCCTCGTTTTACGCACATTTCAGAAATTCAAACAACGCTCACGCCATAAAAAAAAAAAAAAAAAACATTTTTTCGGCGAAAATATTTTAGGAAAACGTCAAGGACCTTAGGATAAAAAGCCAGGAATTTCCCTTTAAAAATCAGAAATGGTCGAGCGCAGCGCCTGGAACGTTTGAGATGGAATGACCCTCGATTTTCATAGCAGAGGGCTCTGGTCCTAGTTTTCCACCCCCCTTTTAGCTTTACGTCCTTCGTAATTCTTCCTTGCGTGTTAATGAGCCCCCGAAGGATTTAAAAACTGCTAAAGTCAAGGAAGTTTAAAGAAACACAAGACGTGGCAAGTCTCGATCACGTCATTACTACTCCTCCAGTCAATTAAATTGCGGTATTTTCTGATAAAAACGTCGAAGAACGAATTACGAGGCAACAAGTGTAAACATAATAGGCTACGCCCTTAAGCTGTCGGTGAGAAGCATGCTTAGAGGGTTCTCCATAACGTTTCTTGCTCGTAAGGTGCGTACTGAGAGAGCGAGAAAAATATTCGCGGACTCTTATTCATACATGTCTCCAGTGTAAATTAAATTAACTAACGTATTCGTTACACATGAACTGTCTGAAAGCTCTGTCAAGCGTTTGTAGAGTTTCCCAGCGAAGCCTCTACCTTGGGAGATATTAAGCTCACAAGTCACAAACCTCATGTCTAGTGACGGCATGTATGCGCTTTTTCTGGCATCTCAGTAAAGTACGCTTATTTGATCAATTTTATTCTCACTAACAGCTTGAGGAACGCGGGGAGGTGACCTATTATGTCCTCCGGCCATTCATTTTTCCCGTCGTGTGTTCGACTGTTTCCGTGGCCCAGTGCTGCCCGAGGAAGGTCCGGTCATGGAAGGATTTCAGCTGCGCTACCAAGTGGGCGACCCCGTCAACGTGACCTGTTACTCCAGGCCCTCAAAGCCCATGGCCTCCCTCAAGTGGACTGTCAACAACAAGGAAGTACGTGTGTACTCCGTGAATTTAATTCCTATCGTGTCCTATAGACCTACTAACTAATCTGCGCTTAGAGTATGGAGACTTCGCTCCCCGATTATCTTGTGAACGCCGCCATTTTTTGTGCGTAATTCAAAGCGAGAGCTATTGGCGATTGTTACGATAAAAAAAAAAAAACGACTTTGCGAGCTTTAGGTAATGTGTCAGGAAGCTGTGCCGATATTGTTTTGAGTGGTCGTGGGATGTTTTAACGGTTCTGGGGTCTTCGGACGATTAAAACTGTTGGTGTCCTGGAGTGAAATCGCGAAAGAAGAACCCGTTTCCTGCGATTCCAGAGAACGCGTCACATAACTGCCAATGATAATTTTAAAAACCAGAATGGGTGAAGCGCCGTCACTTTAAAGCGTTCCCTATTTATTGGCTCTGATCTGTCATATTGCCTGTTGAACAGAAATGAGGTATTGTGCTCCTGTTGGAAAGTTTTAGAAAATTGCGAAAGGAAAACAGAAAGTCTATAGTCTGTAGACATCAGGAAGGTAAGGCGAGGGTAAGACGGGGCGGAGAGGAAAGCGCAGACGACGCTAAAGAGAGAAGGATGCTACCCCTTCTCTTCTTCAGCGTTCCGTTTTTCCTCCTCCCCGGCCCGTCTTACCCTCGCCCTACCTTCTTGACTTCCAACAGACTGTAGTCGCGAAGACAATTTTCAGAGGAACGCCCAATATGATATCTTATGGTGAATTCCACTGGCAGATCTCGAGCGCTCCAAAAGCGCTCCATTTGGAGCGCGCATATTCCGCTCGCAGATCTGGCTCAAGTTGGTCATCTTCCGCTCGTAGATATCTGGCAGCGCCCGCTCCACGGAGCGCCCCAAACTCCGCCGAACTTGCTCTGCGGGGTTTCACAGATCTCTCCGGAAGTTGACAGAGCGGCCCACGTGATTTCCGTCTAAATCGGCGGTGCCCATGCGCGGCGAGGTTGGAGAGATCGGCGGGCCGGTCGGGGGTCGGGTCGTGGAGTTGGATCTGTTCGGGTGCGTCGGTTGTTTACTCTGGATTGTGACGGCTCGAACGCTTCTACCTCGCGTAGATCAGGGATAAAAAGCCGGGAATGTGGAGCGTGGCAAATCGTAAGCGCTGATTCTGTGATCGCGAGAGGAAGAACGAGAAAAGGAACGACAGAAAAGCCGCAGGCAGCCGCAAGGTTAGGCCTATTCATTCTGCAGCCAGTGATTGTTTACCTTTTTGCACTGCATTCCGTCGGCGTTTTCCCGTGAAATAAAGCAAGAAGTGGTTAGGCAACGACCGCGCAAGTGATGGTTTGTTACCTCTGTGTTTATTAAAGTCGTACTAGAAATCTGAACTCCACCGCTGGCAATCGCTGTCCGTGCCCCGCCGCTTCGAGGCGGCCGAAAGGTATGTGACGGTGCCGAACGCGGACGTCTTCGTTATTTGTGACATGGGCGCCGTGGTACGTATAATTTCGCCCGGTTTGTGTCGCGTGTCATTTCAGAAGTTAGACAGTGACAGTCGTCACTGGTCGTCGTAAAGATTAGCCGGCTGAGGCGTTGGTGGGATTGGTCAAGTTCGAGGCAGCGGCCATTTTGTACGGCGGAGGGAGAAAAGGTGGGAAGGGGTGTGGGGGAGGACGCTCCAAAAATGCAAGTTTATCTTCCCCTCGTCGATTCGGAGCGGGTCCCACGGAGCGGAATTTTGCCTCCCTCGCGGATTTCGGAAAGCGCTCCAGATCTGCGAGTGGAATTCACCATTAGAGACTTTTTTAATAATTCTACTTTTTATATTAACACTTTAAAAACATGATTTTTTTATTACGTCGGAAAAGCCTTTTTGCTACCCAAAGTCATGTAATACATGTAGAAATGAGATCTTTAGTGGACATCAATTAATGGAATTATATGATATTAATCATAGTACTTCCTTCTGACTCGAGAGTCGCAGTGTCTCAGCAACGTGAGTAGCCGATGCCAGGAAGGTCGCAGTTGAAGCTTGTAGTGAAAATGCTCTTAATAAGTGCAATGCTTCTCAAACTTAACACCACCTATCAGTTACCCGAATATAAATATATTACCGGCAATTCAAATATACATTCGCAACTGCAGCAGCTGGAATGTCTGTCCCAACCTGAGTTGGGGTCAGGAGTCGTAATTTAATTGCGTCGTTCGACCGGTAGAACCCGAAATTGCTCAAAAGGTGAACAAATCTAACCGTCCCGTGGCGGCCTTAATTTTGGACGCCACTGTACATGTTTCTTTAGGTCAGTAGATGACGACATGTGAGATAAAACTTCAGCCTTGCGTTCCTTGAAAAGTCCTACTGCTAACTTCACTTCTATGTCTGTAACATGATTATATGTTAAACAAAAAAGCGTAGACGTCATCGACGTCCCTCAAAAGTGGCCCACTCAGATAACATCCAGTTCGGCCATGTGCCATTTGCCACACAAGGCACAAAAGAAGATCACGCCACCAGCTTATCCCTTTCCCTCAGCTCTCCTCGTCATCTTCGCCGGAGATTACGGCGGATTACAGCCCTTGCACTTTAGACGGAGGAGCATCAGCACGGCCGGCCTGCGCAGCTGCCTCGCTAATCTCTCCAAGACAGCCGACTTCGACGTGGGCACCGTCTCGTCAAGATGGGACGCGAAAAAGTTTCGACCTAGTTCTTCGTAAAGAGCCTAGATTGAAGAGAGGGAGCAACATCGAACCACGGAGAGCGGATAGCAGTTTAATGGCGGACGCGAATGCGCACGCGTCGCGTTGTCGCGTGGCGAGGAGGAAAGCGATCGGAGATGCTGGGAGAAGCTTGCCAACGCTTGCCAAACACCTCTTCGAACATAAGGCCGTAGTTATCCTGGACGTCACCCAAAGAGGCAAAACGTGCGAGGGCACGATAAGAGAGATGCGCCAGCGTCCAGGCCGATATTCGTCTTCGATTTATTCCGAACACGATTCTCGGTCGAATTCAGACCCGGCACTCGCCTCCCATCCGTGCCTCGCGCTTGCTTTTTTAGCTGACGCAGACGATTCAGCACTAGGTGTTGCACTTGCGGACAATCGCCGCTTTCGTCACCACCTCGCAGCTCGTGTTGCAAACTCGGCCCGTAAACCACGTGACCCCCCCATTCCAGAAGCGGTTGTAAACACTCTCTAATTAGGGCACACTAGATCGTCGTCCGTGCCAGCCGGCCGGCCGCTCCGTAGAAGCCGTCCGTTTTTCGAGCGTGTGTGGCCCTCGCGTCTTCTTCTGCGTTCCTGCGCGCGCTAGCTACCTTGAGTTACGAGCGACAGGGCTAAGCCGTCGGCAGGTGCGGTTCACGAGAGCGGCCCGCGGCGCTGGGCGTGGTCCGACGGCGCGCGGCACACGCCAGCCCCTGCTAATGGACAGCGTCGACAACGTCGGCGTCCTCCCGAGAGAGGGGCTTAGTCCGGTGACGGCTCTTCCGCCGCTCTTGTACGGAGCGCGAGGCGCCGCCGACACGGCACCGCGGCCCCCGTGTATGCACAAGCTGTGGCCGAATGATGCCGCCCCGCAATGCGTCATCGTTGACGGCATTCGAGACCACGGTGTCGTTGGATCGAGGTTGCATCGCGTGCGACTGGAAGCATGACAGAGTCGGGGAAGTCTTGGGGCTTAAGTTTATGCAGAGAAGATGCGGCGAACAATCGACGAACTTCGCACGGCAGGGAGCTCCTATTCGGCGCGTTGCAACAGCCGCTGTTTTGCTGACAGGGCAGTACTAATGCCGCGGGTCGAAATTTGTCACTTTTCTTTTCGCTCGATGATGTCCTACCTTAAAATATTTTCGTAACCTACCTTTTTCTATCTTGATATGAAGACCCCATGGAGAATTTTCGGAAATTTAAGATTGTTAGATAAAGCACTGGATCCGGGGAGAGTATTGGATCCTTGTTCTAAAATGCATTTTAGTTCTAAGGAATTAAACTGACAACTAATCGAGACGATATGCAAAAGCTAAACTATAGTCGCTCATATATTAACTCTAGAAGCATAATATTCTAAACAAACTATATCAAACTTTGTTTAACTGCCCAACAAAGCAAGGGAATCTGGCACGTCTCAGAGAAGGGCCCAAGATTAATTTAGACAATATGATTGTCTCCAACGGTATAAGAAATCGTTGTTACTTGGTGCCGACACTGTGCTGTCATATCTACGCCTAAACGCTAGACATAAGGCAATGTCCGGGTAAGCCCCAGGGAGGAGAAACGAGCAAGGACGACCGGCCGTGACGGAAGAAGCTTCGATGAAAAAGACCCTTGGCGTGGTGGCGCTACAGGCTGCAACGCTCGTGTGTAGAAAGCGCGCAGGCACTGACGCGACAAACACAGCAGTAATCATTTTTTCAGATTACGGTAACTTCGGCGAGGGTCAGTTTTGTTATGCAGTTTCCCTCAAAATCACAAAAAAAAAAAAAGAACAACAAGAAGTGTAGCATAAAAAAAAAAACATTACCCTGCTCATTTTCTGCTCGAGAACTGTTTTCGGCCTTTTATTTTACAATAAAATTTCCTTCACATCGATCAATACTATCGTGTTCGAATATGACAGTACTTCATATTCTAAGATAAAGAAGTAGGGGCGCATGGCATCTGCTGAAACGTTTTTCCATAAAAACAAAAATTTTTACAACTGAAACGACAAAAAAGAGGGCTACGTGCCAACCATTCATGACGTGTATGAAATCAAAGTAAATATTCAATTTCAATTCGGTGATCATCCATCGATAAGAAAAAAAAAATAGAATGTACTTTTTGTTCGTATGTAAGTGATTTTGACGCAGAAATGCAATGGAGTTTAAAGGGATACTGAAACAAGGAATTTAGGGTCCATAATAAGTGGCACACGTTCTTTCCACGAGCCAGCAGCCGCCGGTGTGCGCTGGAACAAAAATGACGTCGAAGACCTTCATTCGCGGTTAAGATGACAGTGAAATGTATGGGCTTCGGGACAAAGGAGAATAAAGACAAGTTTTTGATCTACACAGTGGTGTCTGGCCTAAAGGTAAACGATTAATTGGTCTAACAAGCACGTAGATTTCACTTGTAGAGATGAAAAGCTGGACTTTATTTTCCTTTGGTCCGAAGCCCATGCATTTCACTGTCCTCTTTCACGTGAATGGAGGACTATGACGTCATTTTCGTTGCGTGTGCTCGCGCACACCGGCGGCTGCTGGCTCGTGGAAAGAACGTGCGCCACTTATTATGGACACTAAATTTCTTGTTTCAGTATCCCTTTAATGCACTTTAATAAACCAAACTCGAGTTCAGTGACGTTTCCACGTTACAGAGGGACTTCTACATGTTTATTTCTCTTATTTTAGCTTCACTTCGTCTGTCGTGCTATGTCTCACTTTATTGGTAGTCTAGTTTCAACTGTCCTGTTATAAAGCAAAGATTCCCTGGGCTTTCAGATAACTTCAGCCGACAATGTTCGGTGACTATTTTTAATTTTGATGAAAAAAGTATAATTTGTTGACTCAATAAAGAGCAAAACAAAATCGTCTTTTTTTCAATAAATTCTAGGAATGTTTTTTTTTTTTTTTTCAATTCGAATCTTTTTCTGCTGATTGCGCAAAGTTGGTGTTTTGGGCCCCTCCAAACTACCTGCTGTGGCTACGGGTCGAGAAATATTTACTGACAAGTTACGTATAGGAAGAATTGACCCAATTTATTTACCACGGCGCATTAACGGTGTTAGTTGGCAACAAAATAATTAAAGAAATCGCAAAAACGGCACATAAAGCAACATTGCTTAATATTTTTTTCTTCGCATCTATGCTAAAATTTTCAATCTTTGCCACCGTGTTTCCTTACATTTTGTTACTGTTTGCGCTGAAGATTGTGTCCGTGTTAGTGGGTCAAATTTACGAGAAACGCTCAAACACTAAATACTCTCAAATACTCTCAAATCATCCGTATTTACGAAATAAGCATTATTTTGGAAATAAAAAAGAAGGCCCTCTTCGATTTCTTTTAAAAGCTTCTAATTTGAGCTTAATTATATGTACTAACAGAATCTGCAAAAAAAAATGTTGCATTATGTTTGGGTGTTTGAAGTTCAAAGTGAGGACTCTTACCAAATTATTATATTTGCGGGTCGTAAAAATGCACGGGGTGGTCATAAATATATAAATTTACAAAATAAAGTTAGACTGTGGTTTTAATATAAAAATTTTAGGTGAAAAGTAAAAAAAAAAGTGAAGTTAGGCACGGTTCAGGTCTGCGCCATACCTAACCTCTTTTTCTTAACTTTTTTTTTTTACATTACCTCCACTGGTTCAGGTTCCTCCAAAGTACGAAACACGGGCCGGCACCACCCGGCACGAGAACGGACTGCAGAGTACGTCGGTGACGCTGCACTTCGACGTGCGGCCCGACCACGTGGCCCGGGGCAGCATACGCTTCAAGTGCACCTCGTCCGTGACCCAGGCCCATTCGAGGAGCAGCGAGGAGCTCGTCATCGGCGACAAAGGACCGCCCAGTGGAAGGGGTATACGCGCCACCAGCTTGCCTTTCACTAAAAACCGCGGTCACGCCGCCGATACGTCGTACAATAAGAAGACAACCATATGCAGACACTGTCTGAAGGCGCGCTTCTTCCCTGTCACATCAGTCGTGCAAAATAACTATCTTCAGACGTGTTTGAAACATTCACGTGCATGATGTAGTGGGCGTGCTTCGAACACGCTTGACGCGGGGACCGCAGATTGTCGTGTCATCGTGTCTGAGGCGAACGCCGTGAGTCTTTTCTACGACACGCGAGCGGGGCGACCTGCGGATTTAAGTTTGTACGCTCCATTTCACACGGAGTTCGAGCGCGGACGGCAGCGCCAAAAGTGCACCGTCACGGCGCTCGTCGTCTTCGGGCGCGCCACACAGCAGCAGCGGATTGATCTAGACGACACCATTGTTGTTGTGCAAAAAAAGTCTTTCGTCGAAGTGATTTCCCTACACACCCCAAGGGGGAGGGGGGGGGGGGGGGGGGGGGGGGGGGGTGGGGGGGGGGAAGGTGTACACCGCCTCATTGTTTCTTTGGAAAGCACACCATTAATTCGCAACAACACCTCTATTCTCAATGCCCTCCCCTAAACCCCCCCCCCCCCCTCCCCTAAAAATTTAGACACCCCGCCCCCCTAATTTCAATTCCTGGGGAAACACCTGCTTCGTCGTCATGTGTAAAAAAAGTGTTTCGTCGTCATGCACGTTGATGCTGGTTACTTGCAAAAGGAAGCATTTATATGCTTTAGAGCTGACATCCTAATTTTTTACTCAAACAAGAGTTAAAAAATCAAAGCTGTATACGTTAGCACAAAAACAAAATTTGCTATAGCTGCTAGCAGCCGTCGGCGGAAGTCCCGAAATATTCGGGGGAAACTGCTTGAAGGATCCAGTTGTAAGGTTAGATGCAAGTTAAAGTATGCGCATCTTATTAATGAGGAATAGCTTTTTCGACTTTTTGGACACCTCTGGGAATATATCTTTCAAACGTTAAAATGGAGCAAACCTTACGGGCCCAACAGTAATGAAGGACACAAAACTGACGGGGGATATCTTAGTTTTTTAGCGAGCCGACTGCTGTAGTTCAAATTTTTTAAAACGACGACTGTAATTAAACCTCTTTTTTTTTTTGCCTCGTATATATATGTATATGTCGTATACGTTTTTCCCACAGCTTCAACATAACTAAATATTTATTTTGTTTTCTCACCGTTCCAATATTCCACATTGATGCGCAGCCCTTCAAGAATCCAACAGTCCAAGGATACTGAGCGAGAAGTCCCGCTACGAGGTCGGTGACAACGTTGATGTCAACTGCACTTCCGTTCTCTTAAAAGAAAATCCCGTGGAACTTCGCTGGTTCGTCAATGATCACGAGGTATGTGGCACCTACATTCCGCTTCTTCTTCTGCACTCAAGACTTTGCTGTACATTGTTTTACCTTAAGTCCGGACGCATCCGAATCTACGAGCCAATGAAACCAATTAATCAGCGTACAAAAGCGCAATCTTGGGGTGTTCGTCATGTTTCTGAGCGTGTTCTATCGTCGTTAAACCAATAATAAAGCCATAAAATGGGGATACAGGTATACCTCTCTACGAGAAAGCCACTTTGGCGTTGGCCCGTAAATGAATGAAAGCATGCGCCTTCTATAAATTGGGGTATCAAGTAGCCATTAAATGTTTTCTGCCAAATACGAACGATTACTTTTGAAGAAAAAATAGGCGTGATATGTGAATGTTTAAAGTGAGGGGCGCTAGAAAGTCATCTAAATGTGACGAATTCTATCTTCTCTGTGGGTGAGCACATTGCGCAATGCAGTCCAGCTGATAAATTGGAGTCTCCAACATGCATCACGCAGCAGAGGTTGCAGGAACGCACGCCAATACGATGGCCGTACAGGTCGAAAAGGGCCGGGGTGGGTCAAACTTAGAATCTCTAGATACTGTAGAGCGGCCTCGAACTTTTGGTTGAGCCACCCACGTTCAATTTAAACCTTTCTTACCGCCGGAACAATCTTCGAGTGAAGTGTGAGTAGTCTACAGTTCGCCGTTCCCTAATGCGCCGCGAAAAGTTATCTAAACGCTTTCACAACCTCACCAACGAGCCTCGTACGAACCTACGGAACTTCCTGTAAAGCGTGCTCTGCCGCACTAGTGGTGTTCCTGAGGTGAAGTCACCCTGCTTTTAGTGCGCGTACGTTTGTTTCTATGTGCGCGTACGGGTGCGTTCTTGCGTGGGCAGTACCACCTTAAAGCGTAGGGCCTGCACCCTTCCTTCTCCAACGACGTTACTAGCGAATCCACGCAGCTGCGCCTAGCTCACCTCCGCGTCGCCGTGAGCGCGTCTTCAGAGCGTTTCACGACGGGCGCTATGCTATCATACACAGCGACGCCAAGACACACGCGACTGCCACTTTGCCGCGTACTCTCGTGGCACTTCAGCGTACGTTCCGCTTAGGGAAGGTCAGAGACCCACCAACCGTAATATAATGGTAGGTCTTGGCTTTCATAGTCACTGGTAGGATGAAACACGCGAAGTTGAGTCAATCAAAATCAGAAAGGCGAGTCAAAATTACAGGACGCTGAAGCTTCGCCTCTTAGAGTGGAACGCGGTAGCTAAATATAAATTTCGCTCGTTCCCAACCCGTGCAAGCGTCTGTGTTGCATGTATATAATGTACCGCATTACTTGTATATAATCAAACGGAAATGATGCGCTCCACCTGTATATAGTGTAACGCATTACTTGCATAGAATAATGTAAATTACAGTTGTTTTAAACATGCTGTTAATAAACGTCTGAAACAAAAAGTCTCTGCGTGGCTTAGTGGGTAGCGAAAAAAAAAAAAAAAAAAAAAGCTTAGTGGGTAGCGTGTATGGCTCGCAACCCGAGGGTCGTTAGTTCGAATTCCCCCTCCGCCTAAACTTTTTCAGCTTTTTTTTAGATTTTTTTTGTAAGTGAATTAGTTATTTTTTAAAAGTGAAATAGTGTGAGGCATGCGGCGACCTTTATTCGCGTTACACGTCACGTTTTAATCACTCTCATTCCACACGTGACGTCATGTTCCACACGAACGTTGTGGGTTGTTTGAAATTCTCGCGCGAGGTGATGTGGCTATGGCGTCATGAACCTATCGACCAATCAGGATTTTCCCGTCCGACACCGACGCCAACTTTTTCGCGACACGAGCTCCTTAAAACTGTCGCTTTAAAACGGCCGTGAGGTCCTTCAGGTGTCCCGTTTCCAGCGAGCGAGCTTCCTGCTATGGTGCCCAAAGCGCGTTTCCGACTGGTGTCCCACCATGTTTTCGAAAATGGTACTCGATTTCTGCTGGATGACGTCATGAAAGCATCACGCCCTTGCCAGCCGCAATTCTTGCGGTGTCACAGTAGCTGAGGTCGCCGCAGCAGACGCTTGTTCCGTTGTAGGTCGCTCTGCGGACAGTGAGTCGGTAATCGATGGTGGGAAGCCGCGACGACATCGACCCTCGCGTCTGCTCACATTTTTTGCCGGCATTTTTTCACCCAGCCGCTAGCATCGCGACATCCAAGAGCACGACAGGTCGGCTCCTGCGATGCAGCTTGGTGCCGCGTCGGCACCAAGCTGCCCAAGTACGTTTGATGCACGGGCGAGATCGTACGGTAAAAACTGTAACCGAAGACGGGTTCTGGGTACCGTACCCTATCGATACTTCGATAATAGGGAATTGTAGGGAACCGTTTTTGCACGTCCGATACGGTACGATGGGCCGTCCGGTACAAACTGCGCATGTGATGGTCTTCTGCGGCAGAGCATGCGCAGTTCGCACCGGATGGCCCATCGTACTGTATCGGACTTGCAAAAACGGTTCCCTAAAATTCCCTATTAGAGAGTTTTAGGGAACCGTTTCTGCACATCCGATTCGGTACGATAGGCTCTCCGGTACAAACTGCGCATGCGCTACCGCAGAAGTCCCTCATATGCGGAGTTTGTACCGGACAGCCCATCGTACCGTATCGGACGAGCAGAAACGGTTCCCTAAAATTCCCTATTGTATCGGCGTCTCGCCGTGAGCTTCGAGTTTTCTCGCGCAAAGAAAGCACGGCACAAGTCTTGAGTGCTTGCCGAAGGCCGGGAATTCGATAGACCCTCTCTCCCCTCCTCATTCTGCCAGTAACTTACATGGCTTGCACGTGACGTCATCGTATCGTATTAATAGTTCCTACTTGTTTTGTTTTTTGTCGAGAAAAACAAACTCCCTAGTGCAAAATGCATGCTGTAGTGTGTAACCGCAGGTGTGACGCGATGTACAGCGTGGTTCTGGTGCGAGTGTCCACGTTCGCGGTGCCCCGTTTTGCAGGCGCAGAAAGCGGACGTGGTGCGGTTCTCCAACGTCGAGTACCCGGACGGCACCAAGGCCGTGGTGCTGGGGCTCCGGTTCCGGGTCGAGGCGCGCCACTTCAGCGACAGCGACGGCCTCCGGCTCAAGTGCACCGCCACGCAGACCCGGGTGGTGCAGCTCAGCTCCGAAGAGGTGGTGCAGGGCGCGCACCAGCGCTCTTCCGGCTTCCACGTCGCGGCTGACGACGCCAGCTCACGTGAGCACCCCAACACAAAAACATTCCGTTGTTTTCAAAACAAAAAAAAAAAATATTAGAAGCATTTGTGAGCTAAAACTGGGACAGCGGCGCGTGCTAGCTACTTCGGCAAGCAAAGCACGCCTGATGAAGCACGGGTGTACGAAGTTATGTTCAAAGTGTTCTAAATGTCCCAAGACGTTCTGTGAGTATACTTAAGAGCTCAAGACCGTACCATTCTCCGGGGGCAACCCTCTGTAACTATGCAGTCAAAGGTACGAGGTCGCGTGCTTCGGCGCCACTGAAAACTGTGAACGCGCATATCTCCTTTGTTTTAAAACGTCACAAAAATTTGTCCCCGAATATAATAACGCCCTTTTATTTGGGGCCACTTTCTTCTCTTTATGTATAAGGCGCGCAATTTATTAGTTACAAAATAGACCAACACAGGCCTGCTGGGCTCTAGATATTACACTATGGATTATGAATTTATAATCATTACAAAACTCTCTTGTCCCAAACCACTTCTTTTTTAGAGGAACATTATCTGTGCTCCGCAGACGTGATTCAGTAACAATTTTTAGACCTAATTACTTGCCACTTGGTCAAACCCTAACAAAGCTTTTCTTTTTTTTTTTTTTTGTGTGTACCACGCAGTGCACAACCAGGGCGTCTCCCGTCTCCTTCAATGGCGGTGGATCTTCGAAGTTGTTCTCGTCGTCATCGCCTTTCACTAGTCCGGCTTCGGGAAGGCCAGGCTGAACCTCCGGCGCGAGTCCAAAAGCAGCGACAAGGCACAGCCGAGTAAATAAAGCCACGAAACAACCGGAACTCCGAAAGTAGACGGCAAGAAAGATCTGTGCCTCCAACGTTCATCGCATCTCAAGCTCGACGTATTTCTAAAATGTGAGAGAAACTTGAAGGGAAGAAAGACCTTGCGTGAAGATACCACTCCCCGCGCTCAAGTGGCGGGTGTGGCGCGGGAAGTGCGATGTGACGTGGTCAGCACCTGTAACGAGGAAACACGCGACTGAACGCAACGGACGTTCCAGAACTTCACACAATGGAAAGAGAAAGTGTGACAACAACGGTGGTATCTGTCTTTTGGCGTGCTTGCCGTGAAAATTGGCTTTTGTGTCTTGTAGAAAACGTTTAAACTTTTTGAGAAACTGCAGCAAGAAGAGAATATTAGTGACTGCTCAAAACAGAAAGGTATGCTATGTTAAACTAAGTGGTTTTAAATCAGTTGGTTAGGTTGAATTGTTGCCAATGTACATCCGTTTGCCTTCCCTGGTTCTTGGCATGTAAACTTTTTTTTTTCTTTTTGTACACAAAACAGCACAATCTGTTTTAACATCTCTAGATTGTCGCGAGTACCGGTGTTGATTTTGAAATTAGGTATATTATGGCGTCAAATGTTATTCGAAACATTGGTTGTTGTTGTTTTTTCCTGCATCTTATTGTACTTATATTTTCAATGACGAAGTAGATATAACTCAAAATTGGTCAAATCAAAATTTGTATAGTTTTATATTCTTCAAAAGCCACGTTTCACGGCTTCTTAGTCCAATATCGACATCTGATGCCTGAAGTCGAGGACGCACTTTTCCTTGAGTCTCTCCATCGAACCTTCGCGAAAGGTGGAGATGACGAAAATCTGCTTTTGCGAAAACAAATAAGACTTGTAAATGCGACGGCAATCCTTGAGCGACCCAGCTGTGTGTCGGGGCCGCGTGAATGTACAGTGTGAGACATAGTTGGCCCGAACACGCGATTATCAATTTTGCTTGCTTTTTTTCTTTTAAAATTGAAAGTAAGTCACAAAGAAACACAAGTAAAGCAAAAAAAGTTCTCATTCCGGGCACACATTTAGACAATAAAATTGAATGCTCGTCAGTGACCTTGCAAATGCCGTGTTCGCGCAAACTGAGTTAAACAGTGTACCTAACTACCGCCTTGTCGCTTTGAGAGAACGAAGCAGTGCTGAAGAGTTGACCTATGCTTGTACTAGACTTGTCAAAGCGCGAATAATTAGAGTCAATATGCTTTCTAGCGTTACATGATTGAGGCACTCTCATACATCGGGCTACCATGACTCTACAAACTTTTACTCAATCAATTGTTAGTAGATATGAGTAAGCAAACGCAATTTATTATTATGTCGCGAATTCAATACAGAGAAAATCGTTCTAACTCAGCCAGATCATATAAAACTAGATATATTTTCTTTACAAAATTCCCAGCATCGTGATGCAGCTTTTTCCCATACGTAATATCGAACGAAACGCCTAAGGTGTATGTGTGTTATCCTTTTTCTCCACGTCTGCAAAATTTAGTGTCTATTTTCAAATTGGTGATGTCCGCACATCTCATGACGAATTAAAACAAAAAGTAAAATTTAGACAATAAAACAGCAAAGATCAACTACCCTTACTTTCATTGCCTGTACTGAAAATTTAAGGATGATTCTGTTCGAAGCTAGACCCTAAGTCTCGTTTCGGAGGACCACAGGCACGCCTTTAACACTTGTGCTTAACACTTCCCCGTGGGTGTCGCCTGTATTGTTGGATGCTTCTCCCTCCGTCGCAAAAAAAAAAAAACAAAAAAAAAACGTTGAAGTAAAACTTTGTGAAAATGATCGGCTCCAAATGTGTACAACCAACAAAACAAACAGAAAAGAAAAAAGCCACCCATCATCGTACCTACAAGTAATAGCAACGCTCTTTTCTTCTTGCTTCAAGCTTCGATAGAGCATGCAGATGCACTCAGCCTGCTCAAACATCATTAAAACTGTAAAAAAAAAGCTAACGTAAGGAGATTTCTACAACTCTCCCTCCACGTCACTTCCGGGCAACAACGTGATTGCTGTGTCCTTACCGTGCTCTGGACTCCTTCGTTTGAGACAAGACCGCGGAAAAGTGAAGCCTGCTTGTTGTTTCAAAAACTGTTCGCGCCCTGGAGGTGATGAGGACTCCTTCGGTTTCGTCCCTGTCTCTCGCGGCATTGGAAGTGCTGCCGCTGTTTGCCGCTGTACATATACATTATTAAAACAAATGCGGAGGAGTTGGTTCCAGTGCCGTGTTTGTTCGTCTTCAACTTTACGCTTCGTTCTTTCGCATCGCAGCCCGGGAGGATCGGCCAAAGAGAAATGCCTTTATTTTGGCGTATTGGTCGCCGAGTGCCGTTAAAGCACCGTAGCTCGGAGCTTGGGGAACGAATGCTAGCGCTGCAGAGCTCGGATATATTGGGTTCAAACTCCCCCCCCCCCCCCCCCCCCCCCCCCCGTTTCAGTCTGGATGAGCATCACAATTCCGCGACAATCACCAATCTGACTCTGGGCCGGTTTTGCTGACCAATGCCGGTATCTGAACCGGCGAGTGAAATAGCCGGAAAAAAAGATTTCTATGGAGGAAATCGTTAATAAAAATACACCGCTATATGAAAATTATGGGCTGGGGAACACCTTGATAAATTCATGCATCTTCGTTTTGTTATTATAAACAACCCGCATATTTTTTTTTCTTTAGAAGATATGCGTTTATATTGACGAGATATCACTGTATAGCTCTCTAACCGATTCCACTCAATAGGAGCAAGCCTCGCCTGTCTGTCGTTTTCTTGAATTCTCGCTTAACACGACCTTCCTTAGACATGAGCTGTACACGGCACTTCTAAAAATACACGAAGCTGGTTCCTTTCACTTTCGTTTGAAGCCTCTTCTTCCTCTCTCTGCCCGCGGAATCGGACTTTAATATTCGAAGCGACCACACAATCACGGCGGTCATCTGGCTGAAAAACTAGGAACCCCTTGTTTCTTGTCCCTGCGTAGCGGGCTATGTAGGAAAGAAGACCTCTGTTGCGGCTATTTTATCCGCCGGTTGAGAAGCCCGCAGAGATCAGTAAACCGCCCCAGACTAACGGTCATAAATATTTTATTGCCAACGTGCAACCGTGACCACATACTCCGGCAGACTGAACTAAAGCAATCTAAACAAGTATCGTCTAGTTAATTCACTAACATCGTCGCCATACTCTGGCAAACTAACTAAACAAACGCTGCCTAAACATCTAGCGTCTAATTAACCTTTAGTAAGAAAACACGGGGAGCTACTAGCGAAAGACTATCAAAAGGATCGCTTTTAATTATGTTCTTTTATTTCCGTTTCATAGAACATTTATTTCTTACTCGGAATATACCCTTTCATTGTTGCAGAACTTTTAAGTACAATGTTCTTCAAAAACTCACAATCAACAACAAGAAATCGATAGAGCGACGGTCGCCTCTTCCGGGCTTCAGACGAGCCGCAAATGACGTCACGGTTGTGCGTCACGCCAAATCCATTTCTCCCACAGACTCCGGGTATCGCCAAGGGTGTTATTATCATCAGGGATGTCGCGAACTTGCCTTGAAACTGGATTGAGTGCTTCAAAGAATCTTCACATTTTTAGTTAAAATTCCACGAAGTTCTTGCCCGACTATCTAAACCGAAATTTCGAATTTTGGAAAACAAACATAACTTTTTAAAGTAGGTTACTTTATTCACTTTTTTTTACATTTATTACGCATGCTTACATTCTATAAAGTGAAACATGTGTATTGGTAATGCTTTAGTCAGTTTATTCATTTGAAACAATTAAACAAGTTATCCGACAAATATTGCACTTTTCCTCTGCCAAGTAGAGTGAGCTCGTTTTAAATGTTTTCACGCGCGCATACTAATTGTCAAACTTTTGTGGTTAAAAGTTTGAAAACAAAAATCTAAACCTAGTCAATCTTGAACCTGAGTGGGCTCGCAACATTCCTAATTATTATTGCAACGGTTTAAGTTACTTGAATGGCAGGCGAGCCTCAGTTCGACTTAAAACATGGTCAACATTGTCTGGGGTACGCCCTGGCGCATATTTCACTAATCAAATAAAACTTCAAAATTGTTATATTCCTTTCAGTGTCCCTTTCAATGAATGTAGTTACAGTGCCGTTCTCGCTTAACACAAAAGTCCCAACCCCGATGAGGCAGTCA